TCACGCTCGAAAGGCTGCGTGATGCACGACAAGCAGCCATGGACAATTAGGCCAGCTGACATGCGGCTAACAAATGCTAACAAAAGCATCTGGGTTCTGGGGTTCCATGGGTGAAAGGGGAGAAGGCGTGGCTAGATTGTCCACAGGTGGCAATTGGGACGTCCCCGAAATTACATTGCCCTTGGCAGAGCCCCGTTGAGGTCGTGGAGGTCCGCCTGTCACAGTGTGTGTGCATCCGCTTTGGCCGTCGGCACTGGATTGTTCACCCGTCTAGGTTTAAAAGATACGTGTCACCTTGTCCTGTTGAATCATCCCCACTTCCGGAGCGGCCGGTGCTTGATGAGTCCGATGTGCTAGGCTGCCCGGGCCGGGATGCTATGCAGTGTAAGCCCTCTGTCTGTCCACCCACAGAACCCCTCCGAGTAGCTCCCGAGGCGCCGTCTGTTGGCCCATCGGTGACGAGGCCGACGTCGACGGGTGCTCTGTCTACTCCAACACCGGACGCTGCCTGGGGGAGCAGACCGGCAGCACATACACACTCCAGGGGTGCTCTTTTTTGCTGACCACCCCCCCTTGGGCCGTTGTCGGCGGACACCAGCCGTCGCTGACATGCAGTCGGCGCCTCACACTGCAGGATGAAGGCCTTCCTACACTTGCCGTCCTGCCTTATCATCCTTCTTGTTTCCCCGAAGACAGCTCTGCCTTCACACCTCCATTCACACCCTTATTGTTCATGTTGTTACATTGTTATTTCAATTGTTCTGATTGTTGGTTGCTAGCTTTACACAGCCGGGACATCTGATTTTTTTTTACGGGGGGGGGGGGGGGGGTGATGTAGAGGAGTAGTATGATAATGTCATGTCATGAGCACTGTAACGAGACACCTTCGAGTGAAGGGGAGGAGAGCCACCCAAGGGGTACTTAAGGGGGAGCCCGTGACAAAGGCGTGGTCGTTGTGGGAGCCGGGAAGTGGATCGGCTGAAGGAGGTCTCTCCCGCTCGTGACCGGACAGTGTTGGCTGAACCCCCGTCCGGGGTTGACGAGTGGAAGAGCCGAAGAGATAGCCGAGAGTAGGGCTCGAAGAAGTCTGGGAGAATCGGCTGAGAGTCAGGCGGTGTTGGATAAACCCCCGCCCTGGCCCGAGTGAGAGAGCCAAGGGATAGGCGAGGTTAGGACGAGTAGAGCTTGGGGGTCCACGGGAAGGACCGAGTATAGAGAGCACCTACCCCTGGTGTGAGCCTGAGTGCTTAAAGCATGTTAATAAATGGCGAAAGCCCTTACAAGAAGTTCCGTCTCTGCGTGCTTCTATGACACAACACCTTGAATAATTTCCTTTCCTTAAGCATAACAACAAATGTATGTTTCTATGTGTTGAATGCATTCATTTTTGCATTCTAGACTGGTGTGAAAAGAGCCATTAGCGAGGACGTTTTAAAATATATATAGGGTGAGCTTTCATGTCCTATAACTCACATCGTGAAAGACATAATATAAAAAAAAATGTAAATGGTATATGTACGGCCCACTCACCCCCCTCCCCCCTTCGTATAGCCTCAACAGACTATTGGGGCAAGTCCTGTTAGTGAGCAGCAGTGCCTGTGAAGGCCAGTACTGTGGCACACGAGGGGGTGGGTGGCCAGCACCACACCCGGCCGCCTTTGTCTTCCCAGTGGCGATGTTTACTGTGCACAGCACCAGGTACTCATTTGAGGTTGAGTCGACCTCGGCGGAGGCCCTTCAGATAATTCATCGCTATCACTGTGTGTCGGTGGCCATGAGCGGGAATCGAACTCGGGTCTCTGCCGGGTTCATCGCACATCGTGCTAACCACTATACTATCGCTCCCCATCATATGTATATACAATCTTTATATACACCCTGTATATATATATATACTCTATATATACTCTATATATACCCTGTAAATATATATATATACCCTATATATACCCTGTATTCATGGCATTAAAAAAGTATATATACCCTGTACATATATACCCTATATATATACGCTGTACACATTGCATTTTTTAAAATGGATATATACCCTGTATATATACAGGGTGCTTCAATTTTTTTTTACACTTCTGAGAATTTGCAACAATACCACAATAAATGTGCCTCCGGACTCTGGCGAAGATTCCAGAAATGTGTTGACAATGATGGCGAACAAGTGGAGACTGACTTTTTGAAGTTATTAACATACATATTCTTAGGTTTTTTCGGTAAAGTCACGAAAAAACCTAAGAATATGAATCCTTGCAGTCACGAAAGCTCCAAATCTAGAATTATTAACATACATTTGTTATCATGTTACAGTGTATTATCCGTTATTTTTCCATTTAAAACGATAGTCCCATATAAGTGTTACAAATGTTTTGCAGCATCCTGTATATACCCTGTAAATATATTCCGATTATATATACACATATATACCATATCTACATCAGCCGTACGACAGAAAAAGAAGAGCCTCCTATAAACCCATAGAAATCTAGAGAACCATAGAGACTCAAAGAGACTCAGGTACCCATAGCGACTCACAGAGACTGGGAGACCCATATAGACTCACATAGGATTCATACTCTTAGTTCTTTCGGTAAAGTCACGTAGGTAAAAAATGAAATTAATAAAAAAACAATAAAAAAAAGACTTAATTACACATTTTTTGACCATCTTATCTGACAGGCACTATTTTACTTTACTTTACCGAGTGTTAAAATCCCCAGTGTTTAACAGTACTCTCTTTATTGTTCAGCCAGCACTGGTATAAACATGGGCTTTTTCGTTCTTTTCTATCACGTGTATCAACAGGTGCTTGTACATACACATGTCCACGTACACTTGCACCCCACACTCTCTTTTGGCCCCCCCTCCCCCTCTCCGTCCAATACGTTAGCATGTGCAACAATAGTTACTTGCGCACAACCACTTCCACGTCGCCGACTCTCGCGTACCACTTCGTGCATCCTTTTGGCCCCGCCCCCCTCCCCCTCCCGATACGTTCTACGTAGCACTTCGTGCCTTCTTTTAGCCCCGCCCCCCTCCCTCCCGATACGTTCCATTCATTGGCTACCACATTCTGATGAGCTCCCCCCCTCTCCTCCCCCCTCAACTTGCTTTTAAGGGCTTACATCTTGAATCCTTGCCTCACTTGATGCAGCAAATCTGGCTGTGACGGTCCCACCTGATGACGGAGACTTGTGTTGCCTCCGAAACGTCGTGATTTTTTTTTATTGTTTTATTTTTATTAATTTCATTTTTTACCTACGTGACTTTACCGAAAGAACTAAGAGTATAGACTCACATAGACTCGTAGGCATCCACAGAGACTGACAGGGATGCGTGGATACTCATACTCAGCGACCCATAGAGATCCATAGACTCATAGAGACTCATAGAAGCGCATAGACCCATAGAGTGATAGAGCCATCGCAGCGATAATGATGATGATACACCACTCTACTTGCTCCTGACGTTGGTTATCTGTGGCTTGACCACCTCCATGTGAAATTGTAGTTGCCTCTGCATCTACATCAGCCGTACGGAAGAAGAAGCATAAGACTCAGAGATACCCATAGACATCCAGAGACCTATAGAGACGCACAGAGACCCAAAAAGATCCAGAGACCCATAGACGCGCACAGAGACTCGGAGACCCATAGAGACTCACTGAGACCCGCAACCACCCACAGAGACTCACAGAGAGCCGTGGAAACTCAGACTTAGAGACCCATAAAGATTCATAGACTCATAGAGACTCATAGAAGCGCATATACCCATAGACTGAGATATCACAGCGATGAAGATGATGATACATTACTCCGCTGTTCCTTGTGCGGTTATCTGTGGCTTGACCACCTGAATGTGACATTGCATCTGCAATCTACAGCAGCCGTCGTAAAACAATAAGAGGATTGATTACACTTCTACTGTAAAAACAGCTAATTATTTGGTAGGCGCCTTAGTGAAGGCTCTATATGAATTACAATATAAGGTTACGTTTTCTAATCTCATCATCCTTATCATTAATCACTTTATTACTTCCATCATCTCCTTTTTCACGTATCATCGCATACATGTCAACCCCTTATCAGTGACTACCTTATTACAGACCAATTCAGACCTTATTCGTCACCTCGTGCCTGTATAGATGTCAACGTTCATCATATAAAGTCCCATCACAAGGGAGAAGCACAAACAAATAGACAAAAAACATTTTTTTCTCAATTTTCCTGTACAAGAATACGGGTAAAACGTACGAGTTGACAGGTATGTTATCATATGCATCACGCACTACAATCCGCATTCATTGTTATAGGCGCCGTGCTGAAGGCGCTGTATGAATTTCAAATAAGATTTTTAAAAGAACGTTTAGCAATCTCATCACAGTCACTCATCATTAACCACTTTATTGTTACTTTCATCATCGTTAAATAAGTTACGTGACGCACCATCATTGTCATCATTCACTCCCATGCTACTCATCAACTCACGGCCCTTCTGCTGCTCATTCTTGGCCAGGGCACCGTATGGATTTCAAACGAGATAAAGGACACGTTTAGGAATCGCATTCAACGTACAGGCGTCATGCACGTACCCCTAAGGACGTGTACACGTGAGCGTGTGTGTGGGGAGCGGGGTAGTGTAGCGGTTAGCGCTACGAACACGGCAGAGACCCGAGTTCGATTCCTGCTCACATCCAGACACCGGTGATTAGCGATTATTCCTGCTCCTCCTCCCCTAGGTCGACTCGGCCTCGAATTAGTACCTGGCGCCGTGTGTACGTCTGTTGAACTTCATTCACATCGCACGTGGCTAACGGTGCAAAATGTTGCCACGAAGGGAGACAAAGGGCGACCGGGCGAGCGTGGTTACTTGCCATAAACCCACCCCCCTCTGTGTGTGTGTGCTGCTACTCGCTACGAACAGCACTTGCCACGGTAGTCTGTCACAGGCTACACGGGGGGATCTTTATCTGCACGTCACAAGCCACTCACCGTCCGCACCGCTCACCCACAGGGCCAGCACCACAAGCGCAGATGCGGCGAGTCCCGTCATCTTCCGCCTCCGATGCCCCCGCGAGCACGCGCTTCCACGGTATATATATACCGAGTCGACGACAGACGCATGCAGTTAATGTTTTAGGCATACACGTGGGGTGATCGGGCGTGGCTTTGCCCATATAAGGAACACTGGAACGCGAGTCGACGTATCTTTAACGAGACAAAGTTCGGAACACTGCGTGATCCACGCTCTAACACATAGACGCAAGTATTTAAAATATCGCAGCTTGATCCCTGTTCCAACACACATACATAGATATTCAAAACATCACAGCTTGATTCATGCTCAAACACATACACACAAGTATTCAAAATATCAAAGCTTTATCCATGCTTGTACAACATAGACACCGGAGACAGACAGCACTAGCGGTTATTGTAGCAACATTGAATATATCACTGGTCTACATTTTTTGAGACGTCGTCTGCTTCAGATATGAAATGTGCTGTTTATTGTGGATTTTGATGTGCTGAATTCAAATATAACAATTAAAACAACTGATTGGCTAGGGCTTCCAAGATATTTAAGTTTTTACATTTTACGTCTTTATAAGTTTTACTCATAAATTGTAAACCTAGGCATTTTCATGTGTTTAAGGTTGCTTTACATGATAACATGTCACCTGTCCTGTTCATATAAAACTTAAAAAATCAGCAAAAGGGTTATATAAATAACATTTATTATGAAACAAAAGGCAAATAACTAGTATGTATATGTAGTGTAGTAGAACGACACGACTGTGTTGGCTCGGTATGGGGGCTGTAGGTGGGTGTCACGGAGGTCGTGTCAGGCCGTGACACTCTGCGTGAACCCAACAGGATACGTGACCGGATAAAGGGGGGCCAGGGGCCCCAGGGGGGTCACGTGGTTGAGGGCTCGGGCCTTTCCGAATGATCGGGAAGGGGGGCGTGGCCTGGGGCGGAGCCGGCCATGCCGGAGTGGTTATGAGCGGGGTGTAGACAGAGAGCTGGGCTGTTCTGTGCTGTTCTGCTGGGTCAACTCTAGGATGAAGCCACCATCTACGATCCTCGGTCTCCGGTCCAGAAATGTAGTATCCCCGTGTGTTAGCTAAGTTAGGAATGGTGGTTACCACCCTATGTCGTTATCCTGTTAATGTTAAGAGTTACCCGTTGTGTTTAGCTAATAAATAGTGTTGCCTCCAAAGTCGAGTGTGCGCCTGAATTTAAACCCACTACGTATATATAAGTACATAGTTTAGTCCTTTTTCAGTGTCTACTCGGCTTCTTGGCTTGTCTCTTGTATCATTAAATGGAGCATCTGTTGTCACTGTCCAGCAATAGTCTGCAAGCATTGATGGGCTCCATTTTCCCATTGTCGCTATGCCCTGGTGAAATCGCTCGCCATGCTTGTCAATCACTGCTCCGCAGTTGGGGAAAAATCTAGATGAGTGCAAAAAATATATCTTTAGTGACATGTTGCAACCAAGGCTTTTGTATGCCTTGAGGAGGGTTTCCACCAACTCTCTGTAGTTGTCTGCCTTGTTGTTTCCGAGAAATGTGTTGCCAATAACTGGAAGGGTTTCCATGCCGTCTTTTCCTTGCCACGCAGTGAACTGTCAAATGCATCATCCCGAAGAAGTTCACGAATCTAAGAACCACCAAAGACACCTTCCTATATCTTAGCTTCACTTAACCTTGGCGATTTCCCACAGAGGTACTTGAAAGCTGCTTGTGTTTTGTCCATGGCTTGGACAAAGTTCTTCATCAGACACAGCTTTATGTGTAAGGGTGGTAACAACATCTTCCTTGATTCAACAAGTGGTGGATGCTGAACACATTTCCTCCCAGGCTCCAATGACTGTCAGTGACCAATCTATCTTGATGTAGTGGGAATCTCTCGCACGACTATCCCATTCGCAAAGAAAACAGCAGTACTTTGTGTATCCAGTCTGCAGACCAAGCAAGAGAGCAACAACCTCAAGTTGTTTCAGGTTGTGATAGTTTTCTTTCAAATGGACTGCATGACCAACTGAAATTGATGGCAAAACATTGCCATTACGCAGCAACACAGCTTTAAAACTAATCTTAAATTAATAAATGACCAGTCTCCACTCATCTGGATTATGAACGATGTTGAGGGCTGCCATCACACCATCGGTGTTGTTGCAGGCTCCAAGATCACCTTCCATGAAGAAGAATGGGACAAGATCCTTTTGATGGTCACGGAATATGGAAACCCTAACATCACCTGCCAGGAGATTCCACTGCTGCAGACTGGAGCCCAACAGCTCTGATGTACTTTAGTCATTTCTGGTTTAAATTGAGTTCCCTTCCCTTTATAACTCACTTATCCTCCGCCATTCCCAAGTCAAGGGTCGTATATACTGACCCAGTAGCATATCTTGAAAACTAGAACCAATCAACAATTTTAAGCAAAATTTTCATTCTTAGTGACCCAAAATTAGTCAAGTTGAACTACATTTATTTCAGAAGCATTTTGGCTGTAGACCAGTGATATCAGTGAGACATGTGTTTGTCTGTGTTCCACTTTCAAGAGCGTATTAAATCAATGGACTTTGCTCCAGAAATAAACTCATGATTTTTATCTGTACAATGTAAGTGTATGCCTCAAATAATGTAATTAACCTCGAATACGTTTTTGTGGAAATTCTCCCATTTTAGTTAAATGTAGTTTTTAGCTATTTGATTTAAACAGGGAAGATACATCATTGATCCATTTATGTAAATACGTGTGTATATGTATGTGTTAAATACATTTAACCCTATACTTTTTTTTATTTACGTTCCCTTGTTATTATTCATCATGAGTTTGCGTATGTGCGCACACATTTTTTCAAGCATATCGAATCCTGAAAAGGGCCTAGTGAGGTCTGATCGAGCAACGATCGAGCTCTGATTGAGCACGGATTGACCACCGATTGAGCTCCGATTGAGCTATGACATTTTGAGTGTGTTGGGTTTATGTGATTGAACATGGATCGAACTTGGATGGAGCTTCAATCGAGCATGAATCAAGCACGGATCGAGCAAATACATTTTGAATACCTGTGTGTGTGCTCAAGCATCGATCAAGATATGATATTTTGAATAACTGTCTATGTGTTCAAGCGTGTGTAGTGTAATAGTGCCGGCTGGTGGACAAACAATACACACGCCAGTGAGGGTGTGTTGGCAGAGCGGAGGAACTAGGGCAAGGGTCACGGAGGATCCCATCTGGAGGCCCCTGGAACCTGCCAGTGGGCTTGAGAAGGGAGGCGTGGTCAGGGCGGAGCCAGGACGTGCTGGTAGGATAGAAAGAGCTGAGAGTGAGAGCCCGAGGCTGCCGGTTCTGGGAGTGGACTCGTCTCATCATTGCTGTCGAGCGGGAACTTTTAGCGCACCGGAAGATGCCTGAGGTGTCAACACATGCCAGGTGTCCGATGCGTACCGACTTGCCTGGCCCGATATGCAGTCCGACCCTGTAGACGACCCTGAAGGTGGAGGCCCGGGCGACGAGGGAGGACGGGGACGACTCCGACAGTCGCGTGCGAAGTGGCCCAGCCGGCCGCACCTGAAACACACTGAACCCACACGACGGGAGGCCCCCTCAGAGTGTCCACGCGGCATCGGGGCGACCCCCAGGCGCCCCATAGGCCCACATCGTGGCACTCAGCGGGGCGCAGCAGCGGCCAGCTCCCCGTCGCTATCGTCATCCGGAATATGGACAACACGAGAAGGCGCCCATCCCTCTGGTTCCCCATCCTTGGCGGGGTCTCCCATCCAGGCGGCCATCTGCTTCCACCGACGCAAGTTAACCTTTGCGTCGAGGCACCTGGCAGCCCATCGGGATGTCAACGGGTCGTGGCCGCACACCGGTAGTGAGATGTCCATTTCTTTAGACAACTCCAGCATCTTGGTTAGAATCAAGGGGTCGAGCAGGTCAGCCGTGGAGTCGGGGTAAGCGGCCATCGCGAGCGCCACGAGTGCGCCACGATACGCGAGTAGAGACTTGTTGACTCCCCGGCGCCGATGCATGAATTTTCCCTGCGCGTCAGACGGTGGTTCGTAGATTTCCGCCATCTCAGCGAATGCATCCCACAGTGTACTCTTCCTCCCTGAGGGAATAGACCAGAATACCGCCAACGAAACATCGTCCAGCAACGTGGGCAAGGCCTCCAGCGCCTCGTCCTCCGTCCACTTGACTGAACGGAAAGCGGATTCCAACCGCCAGGTAAAGGCATTCCAGTCGCTGCCCGCAAAGAATTCTTTAATGTTGGGTAGGCGATTGCTCCGCCGAACGCTCCCGTCTCCTGCTGATGCCGCCTCCCCCGGGCGCATGGCACGCTGCTCGGATAAAATGGCGGCATCGGGTCGCGCGCTCGCGGCCGCACCCAAAATGGCGGTGTCGCGCCACGTGGCGCCCGATGCAGGCGCGATGGTGGCCCATTCCTCAACCAGCGGCATTTCCCGCGCCGGTCCCGACGCAGTGGACGAGGCGACCAGCGTGACGAGGTTCAGAAGAACGGCTTGGAGAGAGTCGATTTGCTCCGCCAGCCACTTCCAACTGTCCTCTGTGGCCGGAGATGAAGACGGCTCCATGTCCACGTCCTTACAAGGTCCCTTGGTCGACTCACCCGCGGTCGTGGCAACCGGGTCCGCCAACTCCTGGCTGAGCGGATCATCCTCTTCGTCCGAGAACGGCGCAGGTGGGTTCTTTTTCTTGAGATGCTTGGACATCATAGCAGTGACCGATTCGTCCAAGTCCAAGATTCACTTCTGACGCCAATGAAATAAACCACTGCGATAATGATCTGGACTTGTGTCTTCGTCTTTATTATTTATTTCACAGCTGGACAGCTCCGCTCTCTCTCTCTGGCACGGCTGCACTCCATTCCACACAGCTGGTGGTTACTCGCGTCTCCTCTCTATCTCAACCTTTCCCGCTCCCGCGCGCCGCTGACAGGCGGTGCGCTGGGAGGAAGCCTCCGGCCCGCCACGTGGCCGCTGGCGTCCCGGAGGCGAGCGACGTAGTCCCGCTCT